CACAACTCCCTTACCTGCTACAGGCTTCCCGCGACTCAAATGTTCGCGGGAAGCAGGGGAGGGGGCGGAGACTTTGGGAGGGGGCGGAGTTGGGGTGGGGGGGCGTGGGCGGGGTGGGGGGCGGGGCCAGGGCCCCGGGGAGTGTCCTCCATTTGGAGGCACAAAATATGGTAACCCTACTCTTATGGACAAACTACTCCAAATTCACACCACTGTCCCTACCCCCAGCCTCGAAAAAACACACTAATTTTCAAGACAATCTGAGCATGCATGTGGATTCTAGAGAACTTTGAAACATTAGAAATGTGACATTTCCGAATCAAAATGTTTGGGAACTTTCGTTGCATGAAAATTTTCCTATTTCAACTTCATCTCGATTTGCAATGACAGCAAACATTAAAACATCCAGCCTTTCCACGAGGGACTGAACTGCTGATTTTTGCTCAGCTGTCTCCACTTCTGCAGTTTTTCACTCCCCTGCAGTTTGGGTGGAGGGCTACTTACAGAACAACACTGTATTATATGTAGAATAGGATGAGTAGCTGATTTTTCAGTTTGGTGCCGGCTGCAAAAAAGAAAAAGTGGTTTGGATTGAACTGAGTCTGAATTTTTGGGGAATTGCTAAGATGCATTTGGGGCCTGTTGTAGAGGTAGGATTTGAACCCTGGTCTTTTGTTTCCCAGCTGAGAACCCTAAAGAGTGGGCTAAAAACTGGCCATGCAGCAACTCCTTCAGCCATTTTGTGACTGGCTAAAACTGCCTGTGTCAAATTCATGACTAGTTTTGGATTGACCGAAACTGCCTCTTTTGTTCAATAAAGCATTTATCCGAAAAAATATGCCCAGTTCTAATTCTAAGTGAAAACGTGAACCAAGCCAGACAACTCACCCTGATTTCTCCACCCTGTCCCTTGTAGATGGAGATGTTGTAGCCATAGACGTGGATGGTGGTCAACCCAAGGTTGGAACTGTCCTGTTTCCCCATGTTGCTATTCTTCTCCTCAATGGTGAAGTGCTCCAGGGTGGGGTCATGACCACAGTACTTGGCGATGGTATAGGTGCAGGTGTCTTGGACGTCCATGGTCAGACCATCAAAGGTGTAGTACTGGGAGGTAAGGGATACATTGCAGGTTCCCATATATTCATGGAAGCATATTGCCTGGCCATTCTTAATCCTGCATCTTTCCTTCTCCCGGCAATTCAGTGTTCTGCATGGATCTGAAAAAAATCATAATATCCAATGGATTTTGCTGGGGAGTGAGGCCTGACATGGCCCCAGCGTTCAACAGAACCAGCTGGGGTGCCAGGCATGGGATGGCCAACAGAACCCAAGGGCTGATCCAGATGGAACTGAGTACCTGCAGCTCCCACTAACTCATAGATTTCAAGGCCATAAGGGACCATCGTGATCATCTAATCTGACCTCCTGCACATCACAGGCCACAGAACCTCCCACACCCACTCGTGTAACCGACTCCTAACCTCTGTCTGAGTTACTGACATCCTCAAATTATGATTTAAAGACTTCAAGGGACAGAGAATCTGCCATTTACTCTATTTCAAAACAGCAAGTGACCCGTGCCCCATGCTGCAGGGGAAGGTGAAAACCCCCCAGAGTCTCTGCCAATCTGACCTAGGGGAAAATTCCTTCCCAACCCCAAATCTGGGGATCAGTTAGACCCTGTGTGTGTGGCCAAGACCCACCAGCCAGACACCTGAAAAAGAATGCTCTGTCATAATGTAGAGCCCTCTCCATCTAGTGTCCCATCACCGGCCGTTGGAGATATTTGCTATTAGCAGTCACTATTAGCAGCCCACCACTGTGGGCACTCTCATCATACCATCCCCTTCATAAACTTATCAAGTTCAGTCTCAAAACAAGTTAGGTTTTTTTGTCCCCACTGCTCCCCTTGGGAGGCTGTTCCAGAACTTCACTCCTCTGGTGGTTAGAAACCTTCATTTAATTTCAAGCCTAACCTTATTCATGGCCAGTTTATAGTCATTTGTTCTTGTACCAGCTCTGACCCTTAAATGACTCCTCCCCCACCCTGGTGTTTATCTCTCTGACATATTTATAAAGAACAATCCAGCTGAATCAAGGGAGAGAAGGAGGGTTCTAGGGAGAGGTGGAGAGAATCCATGACACCATACTCACCGCTGGCACAAATGGCTGGGGAGCCGTACGCCTTCTGGTTTCCGATCCCAACGCTCAGCAGGCCGAAGGGGGAGCTGGCGTGCTCCACGTTATGGACCTGGAACCCTTTGCCAAGGCTGTATTCAGCCCAAGAGTATTCTGTGCCTGGAACTGGCCTCCACAGGACATTGTGCAGTGGTCTCCTATCAACAGTGACCCCCGCGGACTCCGATGTCTTGGCAATGATCAGTGCGTAGTTCTCAAACTCGTCGTGCCCGTAGATGTTATAGGACTGGCAGTAGCTTGAGACGGCTGGGATGGCCATGAAGAATGGGTCGTATCTGATGTTTCCTTTGGTCCCACCATCGCAGAAGAAGATGACTTGGATCCCAGCGCTAGCGGAGAAGAACAAGGCATTGGAGCTAGGGATTCTGTACTGCACAGCATTTCCAGCTAGCAGCCCCGTGCTCCTCTTGCTCATCCCAACTTGAACTTCCACCTCAGTTGCTTGGGAGGTGGAGACGTAGACGATATCACCCTGCATCTCAAAGGGCAACGGGGGCACGATGAAGGTGGTCCCCCAGCTGGAGACAGGCAGGAGCTGCTCGGACACGTGGTCACACTGGTTGAATCTTGTCACGCAAGTGTGTCCAACATAGACAGCCACAGGCTTCTGGGAAATGATTTTGGTGCCAGATATGTCCATTGGGCTCTGCAGCTGGACAGCCTGGTTTGCCTCCAGCTTGATGGTAAGCCTGCTCCCTCCGAGGTGCGTCTTTCCTTGGAAAATGACAGCCCCTTTCAGGTGCACATCAACTGTAGTGGGGCCCTCCCAGGCCACAATGGCAACCTCTCCATAGCGATCCGTACCCATGGTCGGCGTGACAACATAATACTCCGTTCCCAATCTCTGCACCGGGTAGACAGGGGTGGTGTCGGCTGAGTTGGGTTTGGAGTTGAGAGAGAGGACAGAGACATCATTGTCAGCCCGGACAACGACTGTGTTGTCAAAGATTTTGGCCCCTACCATCTCAGCGTTGGGTGGGATTATCACCGTTGCGGTCTGACCGGCATTCACCTGGACCGGCACCCTGAGCGCCGGCTTCTTCATGGAGATGGTGATCGATGTGGCCGGGGCATAGGCGGTGATGAGTAGCCGGAAGTCGCTGTTGAATGTTTGTTGTAAGCCGTTCTGCATGAAGGCCGTGATGAATTCTCTTCCGAGAAGGCCCGGAGGGGAAGACCCCGGAATTTCCCCAGATTCCACACTGAGAGGAAGGTTAGGCATGCCTGGAGAGACAAGTGGAAGGAGAAGACAGCTGTTGTTATAGGGGTTGCATTACTGATCATGGCCCACAGAACAAAAAGATGAGTATGTGAACTAAGCATAAGACAAGCAACCGCAGATGGATTCAGACAGACGGGGGAGCACCAGGGAACAGCCAATGAGACAGCATCGCTCAGCATGGTGGGTTGTCAGATGACCAGCGGCGTAATCATTGTCGAGATTTTTGTAGTCCTCGTGGCAGGATTTGAAGGTGGAGAATGTGCTGGCTTTGTGAAGGTTTCTGAGGCGCTCCTGCCAACCTTACAGGGCAGCGTGGGAGAAAGCACAAAGGGGCTTGTTTGTAAATTGGTATAGGAGCCCATCACACACTGTGATGAAAGGGGTTATTGTCATTCGGTGCCAGTTCCTTTACAACTCAGCGTGCAGTGAATAGACCTGGGGGTGGCAGAATGGTTTATAAAGTGAGTCATGGCTGTTGCCATGAATTGAAGCACTAAGACCAATCCACAAGGACCTGCTGCCTTGTGCTGTCTGTTATTGCCACGTGTTTGGAAAGCTGGAAAAACGAGGAACAAGGGTCTTGGGTCAAGGCCCTAGATGGGGCTCAGGCAACCTGGGTTTAGTCCCCAGCTCTG